GTGGTAGTAAGCTGCGGCTAGAGGAGAGTCCTCTCTCTATATCGCTGCAGCCGAGGTGGAGTCGCAAGGGAAGAGGATTGTTGGTATGGTAATGCGCCACTCAACTATCCTCCGCGACTTTGGCGGGACTTTATCACTTGGTGCTTCCGAGTGCTCGTTTTTACTTGGCTCCATGGCCTCCACATATAGGGCTCGGGAAGTCGGGGAGGGAAGTCCTCAACTAAGCAGTGGTGTTCGCTGGTGGGGGCGCGGATGTACTTGAAAACGTGCCTGTCAATGTGCGGTAAAAATGGGACATCATGGGGTTTTAGTAGGTGCAAGTCCGACATAATACGTTCTTGCCCCCAGGTATGCAGGTATGCGTAGGCATTTTACAAAATCCGTTCTGTAGTTATGAATAACAACGCAGATAGATTTAAGCGCGTCGATTTTTGTTTTATTTGAGGTATAAAACTTGCGTCTAAGGCCTAGGTATTAATTGCTGCATTTAATTATTGTATGGCATTATATTAATATGATACATAAATAGAATGGACGTTACGGGTAGGCCTGGATATAGAATTCTTATCGATATATTCGATATATTTATTCCATACTGTATTATCTCTTTTATTAGTTCCATGGACGTTCACTTCTGCTGTCAGCGCCAAAATGGCGAAAATCAAATCGCTTCATTATGTCACAGTGTATAGCTAGTCCGTATATAGTCAGTGGTTTGACAACATAATGATTGGCATATATGTCAATCACTATACTTTCTTTTTTTTTGTCCAAAATCTATTCTTGACACTGCCAATGACTGTTACCTTTGAGTAATGCCAATGATTATGACTTACTTTTTTCATATTTTAGATTGATGAAGCATACCGATAGTTAAGAGCGGGCGCTTTGGAAGCTATGCAAATGGTATGGACAAATAATCACCGCACAAACATTTAACATTCCACGCACGAATTTACAGTTCCCGCTAAATAAGTAAAGTCCAAAACACTGAAAAGCTCACCTGGTCCTGACACAGTTTTTGATGTCATAAAAAATGTCAATGATGAGGGGTTTTTGAACAAAAACCCCACACCAAACCGTTTTATAGTGGGAGAATCGACGTGCATAAGGTGGATTATGCCTAATCGAAGTCGTGCATCACTGTCCTTTGGAGTAGACGGTAAAACCTATGATTATTTCCCCCCTATAAAAAATGCGATCAGACATTCAAAAGTTAATGCCTAGAGAGAGGGGTATTTAATATCATAAATGCGTTATTAACTTATCAGAAAATAGGTGGATAAAGGCAGAACTTTTCATCCATTACGAATAAAACTTTTTTCATTAGTCCTACAATAAAGAAGGTAATTTTTCAGAGATAATTTTTTTAGATGGTCCTAAGAGCCACACCTATCTTGAGCTGGCGCAACTTTGCCCAAGTCTAGGCATAATACCCATAGCCCTTAACATAAATGCAACGCGACTATTGCAACCAGCTGATGTCACTGCATTTCGGCCCATCAAAGCTGTGACGTAAACCTGTCTTCGAATGGCGGACAAACAATTTGGCAAAAGTTACTAAAACAGATGTGAGTCTACACTGACAAATGTTTAAGCTAACCAGTCAATACCACAAATTCAGAAAAAGTTGAAAGAATTACTGAAGCAGAAAAATTAAAAGTGACTCTATGTAACCATCCAACTACAAAACAGGACGAACAGATACTGTACCCTTTATCTACAAAATATCTGGAGAATATTTTACAAATACTGAAGAACTTATAGAGAAAATAGATTATCAACATATAATGGAACAAGAAAAACAAAAATATAGATCTTTTTCTACAAAATATCAAGAAGACACGAAAGGTTTTACTAAAAAAGGCACATCAAAAAAGTATCCGTAGAAAAAAAGAAACATGGTAGACCAACGATATCGCTTTCAGATGAAGATCTAAGAAAAATATTTGAAGAAAATGTTAAAAATAAGTCTTATAACAATAAGATGGAGCTTAGAAAGATCTGGGTATAACTTTTTTAGACTTCTAATAGTGCCAATGATTATACTTAGTTTACAGTTCACTATGATAAAGTGCAAATGATTGTAACATTCTCTAGAAAAAAGTTTAATTAGATTTTTAAATTAATTAAACATTTCTTTTTATACTTAATGCGTCACTTTATTTATGGCTATGTAAACTAAAATCCAACAAAACAATCAAAAATATAACAAATTTGTTTATTTACTTTTACTTATTTGATTAACCACTTACAAGTAGAAGTGAGCTTAAAGTGCCATTCATTATACTGTTTACCCTACATCTGAAGATCTAAGCGCCTTAGAAATGGCGATATGACGCATCGTAATCGTATCACACAATATACCTACCTAGCCTAGTACCTACGCGTAAACAGGCACAGATACAACAATTGACAAACATTGAAAGAAGATGATAAAGTTTAAAACTGCAGACAATCTGAATAACCTTTGCTTACATTCTCATAAAACATTACAAGAGATAAAAGAGTCAATCCTCGAATATTATTATCATATCTAGATAATTAAACGTATTAGGTATTAATAACTCGTGTATAAACAAACAAATAAATTGAAGACTTATTAAGCTGGAAATGTAATTATGGTTGTCTGAATTAGTTTCTCAAATTCACATACCTACATATCTAGGTAACCTAGGCATAATTTAAGTACTCGTTTACTCACACACTAGCTAATGCCACAGAATACGTAAGCAACAACACAAGGACACTTAGGAACGCGGGTGTACTCTAAATAATCGATAAAAATAAGCTTTTGAATGCTCTATAACTTCTTCAGTATTCTTCTACTTTGTGTTTATAATCAGTTGTTAATTGTTATTGGTACATCCGCCCGTCAAAGGCGACTGTTGGACATAGGCCTTTCCTGTTCCAGAGAGGATCTGACTTACGGATGCCGCTCCAGTTTACCGTCAAGTTTGCAGCGCGCTTGAAGCGGCATCAAGTTTGCAGTGCATCCCTATAGACCACTCACGTTCAAGTTTACATGATGCCGCATCAGTTGAAACCATGGCGTCTCTCGCTTATTTGCTCCGCCTAACGTTATGCATACTGGACCGCTCATACACACGTTCAAGTTTGCATGACGCTGCAAGCTTGATCAAGTCGGCAGAATCGAAATTCAATTTTTGCTTCTAGTAGACTTGTCATGCACACGGATAGCCATACACCGTCAAGTTTACCGGACGCCGCATCAAGCGCGCTGCAGACTTGACGGTAAATTGGATCGTGTATGGCATCCATTAACTCACTCAGTCACTCTTGGGAGGCGGATTGACGATAGCACTACTTACCATCCAGAGTCCAGACGGTGATGTCGCGCTGATGTAGGTACCTACCACGTCACCGGTTTTTGAGTATTTTCTATCATAATTATATTTATGAAAAAAAAAAAACGTAATTTTTACCAACAATTCGTAAATTTTTTGCCTCATGGTGCGAAAGTAGGGTTTGGTATTTTTTTACGCCGCTACCACACGGCGAGGAGCCGAGTCTGTTCTTTCGGCTTTGTCGCTTGTTTAGCACCACCCGGGGGACACGTGTAGAGTGGGCCTAGGATTAGGTGGTCGAAGCCTACGGACACGAGCGACGATCCCCCATGGCAGAGTCGGGAAGGGTCGCCCAAGGCGAAAATTTATCGACCAAATTGGTGATGTATTGAAAATGGACTAAATCAAGAGTACCTTTAACCGACGAGCGTGTATGCGTAGGTATATGGATGTGGAGGAGGCGAGAGAGGTGTGTCAGGATCGTGCCAAATGGAAGTCCATAGTCTCTGCCTACCCCTCTGGGTGACAGGCGTGACTGTTTATGTATTTATGTATTTTTACCAACAAATCTATTCGAATATCACGGAATTTTACATTTTATATTTTTATAAATATATATAATAACATAAAACTCCATAAAAGTATACTATAATAACTAAGTAGATAATATACATTACAAAATGTTATTCATTTTGCACATAAGAATGTCTTTATAAACTTTTTAAATTGCACGGCTTATGTCGATTTCGTCGTTGTTATTGAAAAATAAAAACTATATTATAAGACAATAATACCTACCTACGCTAAATTATTTGATTGCAAGAAACTGGTTTAGTTTTATCTGGTCGCTAATATATTTTACTTTAAGTGTTGAACAAAGAACTAATTAGTTACAAGTCAATAACGAGGCAAGTTTAGTGTGCGGTCACGAAGACATAATTGTGCACCTCTAGACATAGGTAGGTTACGAAGTAACCATTATGACATTTAATACAAAAGAAATAATTGATGTATTATGTGCGCATTATAAATTCAGCCCACTTCGCGAGATGAATACATATACCTACCTTATCTATGCTATTTGGCATTATACTCGATACCGAAACGGCTAATAAAAAAACAACGAAGTTCGTAATTAAATTCTATGCATATGCAACTATGTCGAGAGCGATTGCACGTCGAGTTACCGACGCAGTGGAAAGTCGCCTTATGGTATATTGTGCTATATTAAAAAAAATACGGTAACCTGTGACGGTCATATAGCAGTACAAAATTAAATAACATATTTATTTACGGCAGTGTTCGATGTTTGATACAGAACAATACTTTCTATATGTCGACTGTTCCATTTATAGTGAAGTACGTAAAAGTCACTTTTGGTTGCTAAGTGGAATGATTGATGGAATTTTTTATAAGGTCAACTCGTATTCGGAGGCCCCTGAATAGATGAAAAACATAGAAAGTGATGATGCTTCCTTAATCATTCAATCAGCCTAGCGACAATGTGATTTTTGCTGCATAATTTTCAAGGGCATTGTAAACTGCCAACTTCAAACAGTACGATGAGTCGCTTAGTTTCTTATGGAGTTTCTAAGTGCATAATGAATGAAACCAAAACCTTTCAGACAAAAAACAATAGGGAATTTATATTCAATTAGTAATATTAATAGAGGAATAAAGGAAAATACTTACGAACAAGCCAGTGATACGTGTATAATCACACACATGACGTCATTTGACGCAACACAAACCCAAATTATTGAGTAAAATGTATAGTACGCGCTTTAAAAACAACACAAGAATAAACTACACACAATACTTTACTAGATGCGAATATAATTTTATGTCATTACAAGTGATTTAGGACATTTTACAATATTTTATTTGTTGCCACTGACTCCAGTTTTGACAAGATGGTCGCGCACCGACTGTTTTGCTTTGGTTGTCAGCTGATACGAAATTCTGTTATACTTTAAGCGCAACAAATTAATTACTATCTCTTTCTAACGTGTGGACGCAATATAGACAAGAAGTGAGATAGTAGATATTGATGCCATAATCGCGAACTACTTGAAATAAAACAAACGTCATTTTCTTGTTGCAACAATTTTGCAAAGAGAAAAAGCCACAAATAAAGTTATTATTCCAATGTGATGAATTGAAAAACCTATGAAAACTGCAGAAAATAACATTCTATTTCACAATATCATGCAATCACTAAGCGATTAGGTATATTTGGGCGTGACAATTGAGTTGTTTTGAATACTTGTGGCGCCATCTTCAATCTGATATTGAATTTGCTTAGAGATAATCTTACAAGAATTTTGTCGAGTTCTCTGCTTTTTATGAACTTTCATAAAAAAAAACTTTAGTAGGGTATAAGACGTCATTCATACTTTATTTTTAAAGTTTAGTCATGTTGTCTTAAGATAAATTCAACATAATTTAAAAATCACCGAATTAAATGTATTTTTCTTGTCCAGGTTGTGTTTCAATAGTATCGCTACTATTACATAGATGGCGTTAGCCTATACAGTTTAAATACGTTTTTTATTAAATTTATTCATCGCGATTAGTAGGTAGATTAATAAAATATGTATTAAAATGCCTACACTATTAACTTAGATAGGGGCACTAGATAAAATTACTACGTGGTAAGACATAGAAGTCGAAAGGTGCCGGTGGCCCTGGACCGTGTTTGTGGCATTCCTTGAACTCCAAGGCTTGGGGGCTTGGGGACATCCCAGGATCAGCTATTGTCTAATGAAAGTCTGTAAATAAAGTAAATACCTACCTATAAAATTATTATTGAATCCAAACATTATGACAATAACTTATACCCCATAGATTACCTCATAATCTATGAGGTAATCTATGGGGGCGGCCTATGTTTAGCAGTGAACTTTTGATGGTAATGATGAAATGATGAAAGCAATGCTAAAGGTCTGGGGTTCATCCGATGGTGACTATACATGTCTGAGTTCGAATGCCGCGGAACGGATTTGGATTCATTTATTTATTTCACGACAATCCTACCGACAATGTATTTTAATAACTGCGACAGGCCAAGGTCATGCGGCTCATCTAGTGGTAAGTGTCGACCATCGCCCATGAACACTGCAGCACCAGTAGAATTGCAGGCTGACCTTTTAGAACGGATTAAGCTCTTTTCTTAAAGAAGAAGATCCCTAAATCTTTTCGATCCGGAAAAATCGCCAAAGACAGACGATTCCACAAAGAAGTCGTGCGAAGAAGAAACTCCTAGTATAACCATATTATATATTCTGTGGCATAACGCACAGTGGTAGACCGCCAAGCACAAGCATCCAGATGGTGTGATGATATTGTGAGGTTTATCGCAATGTGCGTCGGTGAAATTTGGCGACTGGAATTAATCCGAACAATTCCTCAGAGTACTCCCCGTGGTAAATGCGAAATAAAATGCAAGGGGATTTAATTAGTAGAGATAGTCTTATAGGGTTACCATATCTCAGGATTTGTCCTGAGATTTCAGGATTTTTGTACTCTTAGGATTGCGGCTGGATTTTGCAAATCTTATGAAATCTCAGGATTTTTAGAATTTTCAATACAATACAGTTTACATTTTAAAGATCTCTTCAATAATAATCTAAAATTAAAAATTTTGTACAGCCGACTTCAATATAAGTTATTAAGAATAACTGAAAAACTATTGGTCTGAACGAGAAGTACCAGCTTTCAAATAAAAAAAGAATCATCGACATCGGTTCACCCAGTAAAAAGTTATGAGGTAACACATAAAAAAAACAAAAAAAAATACAGTCGAATTGAGTACCGTCTCCTTTTTGGAAGTCGACAGAAAAGTTAAACAAACTAAAAATAATCTTCCTTTGGTAATAATTGCACAATAACTTATTAAAACTTATTTAGTGGGTACTTAAACAGTTTTATCATACTTAATATGTGAAGATACCTTTATAAGTAAGGTTTTTTTCTTTAAGTATTGATTTATAAAATGCCCCACATGTTAAACTCTTCAAATTATATTGAATTAAAAGTATAACTCGAACTGAAGACACCGTTATTCGGCTTCTTTCATTCGACCATTGAGCCCCCATAATAGAAAACATTCTTTCTACGTTTGCATTCTGGACTGTGATTGCAAATATATTATATTGACAAATACGCATTATCTCTGGTAATCGTGAAATACCTATTATCATGAAAATGGTTAAAGCATGGTATTAAGTATTTAATTTTAAATTGAGATTGATTGATGATGATTTACTTTAGTACTTATGGTTAAAGCAGTATAATCATCGACTTCGACACTGTTGTGATAAGGGCGGTACTCCCCCCCCCCCCCCCCCGCCCCCCCCGCCCCACCCTACTCCCACTTTGAGTGTCATGTGCAACGCGTGAGCGAGAAGATCCACAGTGTATAAAAACGATAATATTATTACTTTTTTTAAATTGTTAAGTAGGTACGTTGGAAAGAAATTTCTCAACTGTAAAAAATCTCAGGATTGTTCTATGGAAATCTGGCCTTTTCTCCGGACTTTTGTTTTTTTCATCTGGTAACCCTAGTCTTATTAAATTTTCCCTTGTATTTTTGATAGATTTTGTCATTTTTACCGTATTAAGTACATACCTAATATCATAAACTCTAAGTACCTGCGCGCACTTTCTGCGATGTTTTAGTAGATTTTAGCATTTTTTAATATATTTTATATGATAAAAGTGATAAAATCTTCCAAATATATTATAAGATGGGCGCGTGCTTGAGTTTTAAATTAGACCGTCTCTATCTACGTCGATATGAGCATCTACGACTTTTTGGTGAGCATAAGAATATTAGGCCTCATTGGCCACAATGATTTACCCTCAGAGTAAGAAGTACAAGAATACGTCATCATTATAATCATCATCATCATAATTACAGCCCTTCACAAGTCCACTGCTCCCCCAATTAATGCCACAAAGCACGGTCCAGAGCCACCTGCATCTATCGACTTCCTGCACGTCTTACCAGGTCCTCACTTCATCTAGTGGGGAGACGCCCTACTCTTCGTCTACCGGTACGAGATTGCTACTCGAGAACTATTGGTAGAGTGTTATGTAATAATATGTTATTATTCTAAGGATTTATCCTATGAGTAGGTATATAAACACTAAAGTAAAAAAGTTGAAGATACAGCCTATATAGGTCCCACTGCTGGGCACAGGCCTCCTCTCATTTCTGAAAGGATTTTAGGGCAAGGAAATGTCCGCCGGGCCGCCCCAATGCCTGTTGGCGAACTTCACATGTCATCGAAATATTTTTTTTCTTATTTCTCAGTCATGCATGTTACCTCACGATGTTTTTCTTCACCGCCGAGCACGTGGTAAATCCGGAGAGTTCCGGCAGTGTTCGAACTCGGGTTGCTCGATTACTGGTGAAACTTACAGCGAGCGCTAACCATCTGAGCTACCACGGCTAACGTAGTGATAACGTTATTAGTTAATTATATAAATAAGAATATTATTTGACAATTCAATTTCGTCATTAGAACAATGTACATTGTGTAGAATACATCAAGAATTAAAGTTAATTAATACATAAGCAAAACAAAATAGTGAAATTTTAACAATAGTAATGTCATACAACACAAATCAAGCAATATACCTAATTAATAGAATCAGACGTTACTTTGGGGAAATCCATTATATTAAAGTTCGTAAGTATACCGAACACAGCGTTTGAGTCACCTCCGTTAAATCTTTGAACGATTTCACGACACCAACACGACGGAGTTTTTGGGCCTCTGTCACATTATGAGGTATCCACCGGGCACAAAGCTTCCTGACTGCTAAATGTTCATGGAGGATTTTGTGCACTTGATTCATACCGATGCCTAAGCTTGTCCGAATCTGCTGATAAGCCACTCTTTTGTCAGTCTCTATCATACGCCGCACAACACTGATATTGTCTTCAGCCGTCGCCGTAGAATGCCGTCCCTCACGCAGATCATCGGTGAGATTAGTGCGACCACGTTTAAACTCATTAAACCAGTTTTAAACAGTGGCACGAGATGGGGCTTCATCGTGAAAGGCCAATCGAAGTCTGTCATAATTTTCTTGTTGACTTAAATGACATCGAAAGTCATAAAAAAATCATTGTACGAAAATTTTCTTGCACAGCATGACAGACAATTTGCAATTTGCAGCAAATCGTAAACAAATGACAAATTAATAATATTATCAATGAATTCCATTTTCAAAATTTGAACTTATTTTTTTATTATATCGTTTACAAGTGGCCAGTTCTAAAAACTTTCAGTGTCGCCCTCGTATAAGAAAACACAAGTCCTTCAAGTTTCATTGGAGCAGTGCCGTCACAGAAAAGATGAATAGATCTTTTCTATGAGCGCGATGGTGTTTTTCTCCTTCATAACTCTTTCAGAAATGATAGGCCTGCGCAGCCTTACTGGCTTCATTGTTATGCAGATGACAGCACTGGCGATGCTTTGTACACCGCTCGTGCAATATTTGTCAGGAACACGTCGTCGAGTGTCGGAACAAACTTGTGTGTGAATTTGAGTATTTTTGAACAAAGTCTCAGATTGAGAGCGACTAAATCTAGTCCAGTTTAATCCTCAGAAGACATAAGTTTGCGCGTATACCTTTAAAAAGAACCCCTATGTCGTATCTCCTCAATTTCAGGATACTCGACATATCGAATAACGTATAGTTCCGTAGTCACGTGGAAAGGAAAGCCACTAAAAAGCTTGGCGTGCTTTGTAGAGCGGGGCAGTATTTCATGCGGACACATGGCTTGCAACTGTACAAGGCGCAAGTTTGGCCTTACACGGAATACGGTTTTCAGGCTTGACCGCATCTAGCGCAGAACGTTGTTGCATCCCTTTACATATTCTATCACATCTGCCACTCGGAGTGCTCAGAGGAGTGGTTCTGACTAATTCCAGCCACTAAATTTCGCCATCGCACATCACGACAAAACTTGCGATACCATCCAATAATAAATCCATCTGGACGATTGGCGGTCCACCACTGTGTTTATTATCAGAAGTATTCCTCATTGCACAACTTCCTTGTGGAATCGGCTACCAGTGCCGGCCTGAGGCAAGTTTTAGGATGGAGCGAGACCCAATTATGGCGACCCCCTTGCTTGCCCCTAATAT